TGTGCATACAGGCACAATACATGTGCAAAATGACTGATAAATTATATTTCTTATATTTTCAAATGCTTTATTTAATAAAAAGAATAAATGAGAGTGGACCAAATGTATGTGTAACATGTGTAAATCCAGTTTAAAATATTTAGAACTCAAAAATAGTTTTTAGGGATGAATTTGGACCGTCCTTACCCCAACTCATGCACCGTTTCAATGGCGTACCGACCACATCCACCCATAGGAGCAATTGCCTCGGCAGCTGACAAATGATGCGCACCCTTCTGCAGAAGTTTGGCTGCCACGTAAGGGATTTTAGCAGTTAAAGCTTTTTAATTTAGAGTTTTCCTCTAGCCTATTTGTGTATATTTTGCGAAAGCTTTAACAATTGTCTTCAAACATGATGCTGTTTACTCTTTGTTCCTTATTGCCATCACTGTTTGTTTTTGTAACTGGAGGGAAACTCCCAGAAGCCGATGTGAAAATTGAGGTGATACACAAACCTTTCATGTGTCACCGAAAATCAAAGTATGGAGACATGCTTCTTGTTCATTACGAGGGATTCCTGGAGAGCAATGGCACTATGTTCCATTCCAGGTAAAAGATGCTAATATTCGGTATTTCCTGCTGTATTACTGCACTAGGTTCAGATGAAATTACTCAGATATGTGAAATCTGATTAACTATTCAGATGTACAGATTCATGGAAATAATATGCCACAGTCTATTGAAAACGCAGAGATTTATCCAGCTGTTATCAAGTTTCTGTGTTCTTGACTTTAAACTCTTGTTGATCATTTGAACCTTGGCAGCCGCAAACATGGGGACACAAATCCAGTCTGGTTCACTCTTGGGATCCGAGAGGTGCTTAAAGGTTGGGACAAGGGTCTGCAGAATATGTGTGCTGGAGAGCGCAGGAAGCTGACTGTCCCTCCATCACTGGCATACGGAAAGGAAGGTCAAGGTATTACAGATTCAGTGCAAAAAAAAAAATCATTATACACATCTTCTTGAAAAGATATTCATAACCGTCTTCCAAACTAATACCCAGTGTGTTTTATTGGTATTTGACAGACACAAAGGTATATAATTTGGAAGTGGCAAGAAAATGATAGGTGATCTGCCATTATTTTTCTAGTTGAAACTCAGAAAAATGTTGTGGGCATCTGTACTTACACTTCTACCCGTTAAAATCCAGTGCAACCAGCTGCCTTCAGAAGTCGCTTAGCTAATAAATCATCTCTGCGTAACCTAATCTCAGTATAGTTCCTGCTTTTCTGCAAGGGACTCAGAGGGTTTATTAGAGAACATTCATTGGCGAACAAACGGCATGGAGACTGAGGGTTAGGTTACGAAACAATATCTGAAACTTTTTACATCTCATGCAGTACTATCTAATGTATCACCTGAAACAGAGTATGGCACAGCTGCAAACCTAACAAGACACCTGCCTAAACAGGCCTAAACAGGCAAACAACCAGGTGTTCATAGAAGCTGCCATGAAGTCCACTGCAACTCTGGAAGACATGCGGCAATCCACTGCACAGGTGGATAAAGCTTTTGACAGGACAAGCATTAGCTGTACACTTACGAGGCACCAAGAAAGCCATTGTAGAGAGAAAGGCATTGGAGGATCCATATTATACTTTTGGTTTACATGTAAAACACTATGTTTGGTAGAACTGCATTAACACTCTGAACACACCTTTCCGTAGGTGGTAGCATCATCATGCTTTTCTTCAGTAGAAGTAGGTTAGCTGGTCAGAAGGTAAGCTAAGGTAATTTCATTTATACAGCACATTTTCAGCAACAAGGCAATTCAAAGTGCTTGATGGAAAGATAGATAGTATATAGTTTGTCACATCAAATTACAATAAAACACATGGAGGTGTTTGGCTGTACTGTTACAATATATGAAAAATTAAAGGAGTAGATGTTTCTGCCTGAGCAAAAACCTTGTTTGTTTACAGGTAAAATTCCTCCGAGCAGCACCCTGATATTTGACATCGAGCTCATGGAGATCCAGAACGGTCCCAGGTCCCACGAGACTTTCCGGGACATGGATCTCAATGACGACTGGAAACTCTCCAGGCAGGAGGTGTGTCTTTTTGACTGTCCCATTCTGTGTCGAGACCAAACGACGTTGTTGGGAAACTATCTTCTAATTTCTTTTCGTATTTTCAGGTGAAGCATTTCTTGAAGAAGGAATTTGAGAAACACGGTTACTCGCCCAATGACACACATCATGAAGTGATGGTTGAGGACATCTTCAAAAATGAGGATGAGGACAAAGACGGCTTTATATCAGTGAGGGAATTCACCTCCATACATGATGAACTCTGAATCATGGATTCAACTTTTAGTTTATTTTTTTTGTAGATCATCTTTGAAACTTTCATAATTTTAAAACTACATTTGACCATTATTGTCAGATGTTTTGTTTCATGTTTTTACCTAGAAGTTTTATGTTTTATGTTAATTTGTACTTTTCATAACTTATTTCCCCTTGGACACGCATATATAAATGTCATCGTTCTTGTTGCTTTAAGATGATTAAACAATTTTTTATGAAATAAACTACTTTTTTCAATGATTTTTTAGTAACTTGTCCCAGTCTGTAATAATGCAGGATAACTGGTCTCTTCCACGCATATCTGCCACTAGAGGGCACTCTTGCCTTTTCTGCTTACAAATTGCTTTCATCTTTTTAAATCCTCCCCAACAGTAAAAAATGCACAATCTATGCTCCCCCACAGTAGCTGACTGACCTATATATTTTTTCATCAAATTGAGAGTAAAGTCACGTAAAGCATCACTTGTTATCGGAACCATATATTATGCATGTTGGAGTACTGGGAGTTGAAGACGTTTGAAATTGTATTTGGTTTCAATCTCCATGTTAAAGATTATGTTTTCTCATGTATTCCTTTGATGCATTTCGATTTAAACTACCACAAAATGCATATTTGAACCGCTTGCAAAATAAAGACTTTCGACATTTATCGACTGATGCGCCTACATCTTTATGAACATGGCACCACAGCCTGGAGATGTAGCGGAAAGGCACAGGATCCAACCTGCTTGAGGTTCATGAAAACAGAGGTGTGCAACTTTTATATATTTGTTAGAACTATCCATATGTGATGGCAGTATAATATGAAGTAGATAATCTTTGAAAAGATGTGGCTCCTCTGTCTTCTCCCCCACGCACATGCTGTCATCTCAATAAACACACCGCCTGATCAGGAACAACCAATCAAAACCTGAAGGAGGGTCTTACTTTCACTCTTTCACCTTCCTCTCTGCTACACTACAACTGGTTCACAATGACAGGACCTGCCAAAGACGCTCAGCCTAGTTCCACCTATCACACTGCATAAACAATGTTCCTGTAGCATTAAGTTGTTTTCCACTTGTAACACATTTAGCAGCACATACACTAGCGCAATTGACTGCTCAAAGACACTCCTCCCGGCTCTGATTATTGTTTGTGACTTGCTGCAGTGCTGACCGCCTGCATGTCATGCTGCACTGAGGTGATAATTCATGCGAAAGGAGCCTTGACCATGTATTAGTGCATATACTGTTTTTCTGTTTAAAAGAAAATCTTTTTAAATTGCTTTTAATGTGATATCATTTTCAGGAAACTGAATTTTTGGGGTTTTCATTAGCTACAAGGCAATCAACAAATTGAACGAAAATATAAAATGCATCACTGTATATGTAATGGATATACCTGAGTTTTATTTCATATCGAAATGCCTTTGTATCTATTGCCTTCTAATTATGTATTGAATGATGGCATACCATTATCAAAGTGGTTCACAGGCTTGCTCCTGACCCCAAGCTCGCAGCAGCTCTCGGTGTGGCTCCAAAGCAACTGCAGAGTGTAAATAACATGGCCACTAAGCAGAGGGAGCTTAACATGTGGAGTAAATGTGACTTACGGCTCGAGGCTCAGTCAGGGGACTAGTAAACCCAGCAACAAGAAGCAGACTGTTTGTTTCTCGGATCAAAGGAGCCATTGAAGCATGGTGCTGCTAACAGCGTCGCTCCAGTCGTCCTCTTTTTCTTTTTACCCAGATTATTTTAAACATGGAAGGCTTTGGCTGATCATTAGCTGGATACAGCTGAATAAGAAATCTGATTTTGCAAGTACAAACCAACTCGAGGAGTTGGGGCATGATGCAATGGAGGAGAGAGAGGGCGCAATCTATTTTAAAGCCACAATGGTGATTCAGCTATTAACTTATTTCTTAAGCAAGAAAATAACTTCTGCATTTAGAAAAATAACGACTTCTCTATTTTCATGTAGGCTGGTTCTTTCTACTCATTAAGTTAAATATAAAGATATGAGGAAATGACTGTATCAATGTTTCTGCAATACTACAGATCTAAAAAAAAAAAAAAACCCCGATGACAGCTGACGTGCATGGGCAACACTCGGTCTCAGAGTTCAGATAGAGAGGTGCTTTTAAGTAGCAGGGCAGGATGTGTCTGTGCTGCACCTCCCACACAAAGAGCACTACTGTTTATTTTTATTCCTCCTTTTCCTCGTTCCTACAGTTTATTTGGCTTCTGGGAAAATTCAACCCTTCTCACCACATGCGTGCAGGTAGAGCTGGATCAGTGGGAAAATAAAGCAGGAAGTTAAAAAAAAAAGGCAAACACACTGGATTTTGTTCATGGTCCTAAAAAAAAAAAAAATCCCACAGGAGTTGAAATCTAGTTGAGACACATCTTCAACTCGTTAGTCTACTTCAAACTCAAGTTTTACATTCTTTAATAAAACATCATTTCATAAATTACATTTGAATTGCAACTGTCACAAAAATACATTTTGATAAAATGGATCTGTAGAAAGGATTCAACAATCACATTAAACCAAGTGATAAAGGAACATGCTTGGCACGGGGGCCGCTTTGGGCCCTACTGTGGTGGTTGTTGTAGTCGTCGTCGAGCAATGTTACTGGCTTAAAATAACAAAAAAACAAAAAAAAAAACAAAAAAAAAAAAAAAACACTACTTTACTCGAAGAAATCCCTAGTAATAGTCTGCACACTCAAACGTTGCATCACTACCAACCAAAATGTGCACATAGGAGTTTGGCACACATGTCGCACCCTTCAAAGAGACACAATGTCATCCAATCCGCACAAATGATGGATCCTGAAACCGTCTGCCTTCTTCTGATTTGTCATTTCTGTTTTCACCCTTCTGCAGGTACATCAACAAGCATTTCCAAGAACTTGTATATATAAACTATGGAGCACGAACATCTTTACAAAATAAATCTTTACGCTTGATGCAAAAAAAAAAAAGTGCTTTATTAATGTCTTGTTTTTTTGTCTTTAAGTACACGAGTTAAGTCTGACTATCTACATCGTATCATTCCAGTGTTCCCACAAAAATGCAAGTGAGCGTAAATTTGGCTGACCTGCAAGGTTCAGATTAAACAGCACCAGGCCTCCTTCAATTTGGACCCACACTAGTCCTACAGCATCCTCTGTACCCTTCGCCTCCACCCTTGGTAAAGATGTTAAAGAGCCTCAAAATAACTTTGCTTTGAAAAATCCTACCTTTAATTTGAGTAGACTTACTCAGCCTAGTCTGCCATCCATTTTACTACCCCAAACTGTTACTATAAAATAAATGTCACCCAATCATTTCTGAAACCGAGACATAAAAGGCTGGATGTGGATCCAAGTCTCGTCACAGTGAGACAGAGAAAGAAACCGACTCTTAAGGAAGAGGAAGAGCTGTTGTGAAGAATGTAGAAATCAGGGGAGCCAATAAATGTGGTTCTGGTGATTCTGGGAAGAATAGTTAAGTCTGAATAGCGAGATTCGTTTATTTTAAGACGTCTTTAAAAGGAGTTCCGGGCAATAAGTGTGGAGGGTGCTGTATATCACATGGTGCTTTCATCCTGACTGATCTACACCAGGTAGCAACAGCCTTTAAGTTATAAACAGAGGGAACAAATAATGTAAAAAAAAAAAAAAAAATTGAAAATACATAACTATTGTTGCCTCATGTAAAAAAAATGGTGCTCTTAGCTGAGTTTGCAAACCCCAAACTTACAGGAAAAAAAAAAACAACAAAACCCCTCATCCCAAAAAAAAAAAAAAA